GTACTTTACAAGTGCATACAATTGAAAAAAGCGAGTAACGTATTATCTTAATTCAATGGCGCCGATGATTCTTCCATGTTTGTGGCTGAGGAGGAACCATTACCATGTTTTAGCCAGTACTGAACTTTGTAGAATGTTTTATTTCATGCTAGTATCACTAAAATAGCATTGCCTTCGTATCATGAAGAGGATCCATTATAACAATGACCGTTTCTCTTAGAGCAGAAAACAGTGTATTACACGGTTAAATATTGGTCACTTGTGATCAATGACTAACTAATCTTAAGTGAAATGTTTAAGTTTTAAATAATTCCAGCAATTTGTACAGTAAAGCATTAAATCGGCAACAATGATTTCATCAAGACACCTTAAGTAATAATTGATTGGTTGTATGCACACAAGCATAGCTTGTAAAAATATCTTCTAGCATAATCCATGATTATGTATTGTATTTGTGTATTATTAAAAACCGTGAATAGACTTTTTCAGTAACAGCATTGCAATATATGTACCTATAGATGTCTTCGCAAGTGTGTGTGCACAAGAGGATATATGTAATTTATGATGTTGTATTGAATTGAATACTATAAGTCTAAGCAATCGCTTTTAGCCACAATAACGCCTCGGGATTCCAATTCAGAGATCAAAAGACAAGGTCAGTTCAGTTTGTGTTACAGATGGCTGTAGGCTTCAATCTGTGTTTATCTAATACTAGTAGCATTGGGTTTTACCATCCTGATTATAATCTCCTACAACCCATTTCAACCCTCAAGTACATACACCTACAGTCTACTGACTCTATTGACGTCTTTACTGCTCATTTAAAAACACTAGTAACTTCACTAGCTGGCTACTTTGTTTATTGATATAATTCGTGGAGATTTAGATTGTACAAGGACAATTTTCCAATGGCAGTTTGAGTTGAATCCTACGACGCTTACGGTATACATTATAGTCCAAGCATATAAAATAAATCAATGTCGATAGCCAAATTATCTATATACATAGTTCATACGGCAAATATATATTATAAATTATGTAAACTCTAAATAATAAGAGTAAATTTAAAGTTAAAAAGTATGTATGCATTATAATCGTAATGACTCAACCAAACTAGCACACTCACGATTCGTGCTGAGCTAACCAGACAACAGTCGACAGTATCTGTGTAGAAAAGAGATTATCCTCTGTCAACCCAGGCTTTCTGTCCAAGTAGAAAGTATATGAAATTGCACATATAAGTGAGAAATTTCCCTAATTACCACAACATGGTTGTCGCTATAACATTTATTTCAGTAGTTTTAATGATACATTTTGTTATGATAACTACTGTGAATGCGAGTAAATGCGTGTAACTGCATATTATGAGAGGTAGAATTTACCTGAAACCTACTTCTTTCCTTCAAGCGAATCCTAACTATTAGGCTAAGGGTTTTGTTTGCAAAGTGTACATACGTATTTTTTTATTACCAAATTTTAAACTATTTTATAGAACTTAAAAATAAGCAATTTCCCCAATGGTGTTTGTACTACACCAGATTGTCATAGGTGAGGTGTTTTGGAGTTTTAAAACTGTTAAACATGTGTGTTTTTTTATTATACTTTTAAAACAAAAAAATCGCATTTATTTTTAATACATTTTTTATATTAAAGCGATGTTGTATGATTAAAGGTTACGGAGGAATGTCAAACAATTGTATATTTAAATGTTATTCTCATGGGGAAAGATAGAACCTGTAGTTTGCTTGTTTATGTATATATTTTAAACTAATCTGGCCGATTTATTCATTTCATAGAATACTATTAACATTTTTCATTAAAACCCCCTCTTTCCTTCTTAGTAGCAGGAAACCACGGTACTCGTAAAATCTAATGGCATTTAAATAGGTAGGGAATAAATCTGACATGTTTAAGGAAATATTTTTGTCAAAATCCATTATGACAAAAGTAGGCCTAAATCCGGCCAACATTCTCTTAACCTGCAGGTTTGCTACGACGGGATTATTATAAAATATAAAAATGAGTATAGTTAGTAGCGCATTTTAACACATTTTAATTACGAATGTTTATCAACTGTTTAAGCCAGTAAACGTGAGGGTGTAGGCCTAAATTGAGTCTCCGGATCCGTCAACATTTTCTCATGTTTTGTGGTTGACGTCAAGACAGGCCCGGGGATTATTGCATTCCCAGGCAAAAGTTGGACGTCAAGCGTACGTCGTTCCTAAGCGTCTTTGTCCAACTTAGAATTTCTTTGAAAGTGGCTTAAAAGAATGCTTATTCGTGAGTACAATTGAGTAGTCCTAAAGTAAGAGTATATTTACCAACTAATAGTATCATATCTTGTAACACATACATTTTGCAATACCTGTTAAGTTTTTTTTTTTACTAAAATAAGTAGCCAATGTTGGGAATGATAAGTAAATTTGTAAAAATTATATTTGGACCCTACAATTACTCAAACACCTTTTTTTTAATCACTTTATTGGTTTTAGACTCTTTATTTATGTTAAAGGCGAAGCAGTATCTACAAAATTTCGACAAACATAAAACGCATAACATGTTTGTACGCGCATAAAAACGCATGCAAATAACATTTAAGACTTAAACATTCAATAATATACCAGCTTTAGATTTTTTGTTTGGTAGGCAAATACGTCCGTATTATTTAGTAATACTGTATAGTAAACGCGTATGAAGTAATTATTATTAATTTATACAGTATATTATAAATACTATAGTTTAAAACAAGTTGTTAATTTTCAGGTATGGAGGCCAGCTGAGCACTCATTGGCCCAAGCAACCATTGGTAAATGCACCAGTAGCTGACAGTGCTCCAGAAGCTGACAGTTTGAGTTTCTTTACATTATAATGTGGTCTCTTAAAAATATGTACACATGATTGCATTGTTAGAAGAACATATGTTTATTCTTTATTTGTTTAAAAACAAATCAGTGAAATTTAGCCCATACTCGCTGAATGGTGGTGGTTTGAAAGCGACCCAGTCTGTACACATCACATTTAGTCGATTCCCTTTATGAAATTGTTAAGAAGATAAGTTTGGTTTTTTGTCATTTCGCTAAATTTCTTAAATAGTATTAATGATTAGGCTCATTATTTTTTATCAATTATACCTTTGTTGACAATTTCATGATAAAATTGGGGTGTTAGGGGTTTTGGATTTAAAATTATATCAATGTCAGGCTTTGGTACACAAAAGCCATACAAGTTCCACTTGCTGACAGGGGATATTTGCTACTTGCACAATATTAAATTGGTTTTACCCATCGAAATTTGCATGCTATTTCACACATTTGAATTTTTTAATTAATAAGCCAAATTATCTTAATTTTTTTTTATATATATAAAACATATATATTTTTTAATGTAAATATTTTTTATTTTTAAATATGTAAAATAAATTTTCTTAATAACGTTTTACATGATTTTATAATTTAATTATTAAGTTAGATTTTATTCGTCTTATAAATTATAAAACCCTTAGGTTTAGCAGCTATATAGTATATAGTACATTTATAGTTCCAGTGTCAGCTACTGGGACAACTGACAGTCAGCTACTGGTACAAGCACTTTTTCACTGTCAGCCACTGGAACACGTACAAAGGTTGAAATAAGTTTAAAAATGTTATTAAATATATTTTAAAAAAAAACCTTTTTGTATGACAAATTTGAAAACTACACTAAATTTAGAACCACATAAAATCCGTAATATCTCTTAAGTTCCTATTTATTCAAAACCACGGATTATTAAGTGCGTATAGTTTCTTATACTGTCAGCTACTGGTGCGTTTACCTTAGCACTCATACCTTGAATCTGAACAATTCAGAATAACATTCGAGTTTTACACAAATGATAAGTTTTACATGAGGCATTTAGTTGCATTACTTGATGCTTGATCAAACCTAATTGTAAATCATATTTTCAAGGCTCTAATGTTCATGGTGTTAAAGAATAACCCATATTGACCATCAACGTTTCTGAAATCAAGTATATATTGTCTTCATACTCTAATTGATACTAGGATCAATCAAAATAATGATACAAAATAAAAATTAAATTAGAGTGATCTCAAATATGTCCTTTTGTTATTTTGCAATGTAAATAAATGTCACAGCTTTTGAGCTATGGTAAGAGTTTAAAGCTTGATGATCATTTTGTTGCATGGAATCATATACCAGGTCTCCCACAAATAGAGTACATTTTTTTTTTACAAAACCGACGCATCGAATACGGTGCAAACGTAAAACTTTACAGCTACACCTAAGTCATGTGAAATAATATAGCCCACACAGTTACTCTTGATTCCGACCACTCGTAACAAAATGGCGCTCCGTTGGAAGAATTATGCGTTTTCGTTAAAGTAATTGTACTTGCAATACCATTTAAAAAATTTTTTTGATTTGATGCCAAATTATTTCAGTAAATAGCTTTATGAAATTAAAAGATTAGCGGTATATCATAAATGCAACAAATTTGATTCATAACGATCCAGAATTAATCACATGTATGTTATAACTGTTGAGTTTAAGTTTATGACGTCTTCGGTACATCTAGTATAGGCCTATTGATTCAAAAATAAAAACTTTTCCGTGGAGCACCCTGTATGTTTAATGAGAATTTCTGTCTCAATTGAAAATCCCTTAGTATTAGTGGCTTTGCACGACTTTATAATCAGAGGTGTAGGCATAGTAATATTTCAGATCATTCAACTTAACAGGGTTTTATTGGCTTAGTCTGCAGGTTTGCTGCAGGGGGATGTTTACTTTTTTCTCATGGGTAGTTCTTAGTTTGTTACCAACTAACTCATGTTGAGCCGATATTAGCTTTCAAAGCCCCATTGTAAATGATCGCACACCATTAATCTCAATTACGGACAAAGCAATACTAATTGGACTGTTGATGATTGGATATGCCCCGTATCACGGCGGCCAGTATATATACCTTCCACAGTGTGTGTTAGCAGTCAGTAGTCAGTGGTCAGTGGTAGCAGAGATGGCAGCAGCATCAGCAGCATTGTGTTCTGTGGTGGTGGTGGTGGCGATGTTGGTGACCACAGTGGCTGCCAGTGACGTAATGAGTGACGTCATCAAGTGTGGTGGTGACCAGGACGCATCCTCGTGTCTCAAGATGACGGCTCTCAGACTGCTGGACACGGCATTGGCCGCGGACTCTCTGAGACTCACTGATGACGTCACTGTGGACCGTCGACCTGACGTCACTGTACCTCGTCACTTTGGTCCTCAGAACGTCACCTCTCTGGACGGCGTGCTCCTGGACAGAGTGTACGAGCTCATCACTACCAGGACTGTCCACGTACACGAGCAGCCCGAGGACGCCGAAGGTAATGGAAAAGGATTAATCTGTTTATTATAAAAAAGTAACTATCAGAAAAATTTTATTCTGCGATACAGTAATTAGAAACCAAAGTAAAATATAAACCGGGAAAACGTCTAAATGATTTTATTCAATTTTCCATTCGTGGAGAAAGCAACGTATTATTACACGGCAGTACCTAACATTTAGGATACTTGATCATATCCCGTTATCATCACTAGAAACATAAAACACAACACTATTGCCATGTCACGTATCATTCCGCTATACCCATGTTAACGCTTAGTCAGTGGATGGATACAATATCACAAAGCTGCAAAAAGAACATTATCTTTTAAATGTATGTTTTTAATTAGAACAGTAATATTAAATTCCACGCAAACGAGCCACTTCAGCGCTCATCATTATCTGAATATTTCACATGGAAAGGCCTGACATGATTAAAGCAGTGTCTGGAAATTAAAGTGCACGTCCTTATTTTGGTATTTTTGTTATTAAAAATTTATATGTGGTATGTCATTTATGGAGAATTGAAAAATTGCTTTATAGCTTTGTGAATTCTCTTAGTAAAAGTTGTGATTTAGCATTTCAACTAAAAATAAAAGTAAACATCTTTATATAAATTTAAATGAATATTGAAAACATAATATTTGTATTTAAAATTAAATATAAAATTATCTGTTGTTGTTTCAAACTGTTGCTCCGATTAGTTAAACAAAACAGAACGTTGTCATCACGAATATTGAAAACTTAATAGAGCCATCAAGATACTTGTTTTTTTGTATATTTTTTTCTGTCGTTCTATAGGTTAAAAAGTTCATGACCTTACCAGACCTTACCAGGCGTAACCAGACGTTTTAATTGCCATACGATACTAGGTTATGTGTTGAAAAATGTTTAAAAACAAAACCTATTGGGTCCTATCATAGCCATTAAATATTACTATCTTCAATATGCACAATTAACATCACTCAAGAGGTGTCAGACTTATCAATTAGTCAGGACTACTTATACATCTCAGTTTCCTATGGCATTATGGCGGTATTTACCTACCTATTCTATACTTACTAGAAGCTATATACATTTATTTATTATGTTTAGATTACATTTACTTTAGGTTGTAAATATGTAATTGCTTATTCGGTGAAGACAGTTTCCCGAAGTTCAAACCGATGAAATTTATGCTTACGGTTTCTTGACCAATGTAATAAAATTGAAAACAAAACACCATATCTTTGTGGTACTGATTTATTCTATGGAAGCTTGATTTTAATCTTAATTCGTTTATACCATCAAGATTCTTATTCTTTCTATGGCTGCAGGTCGAGGTAGGAAGAAGAAGAAGGGTGGTGGCATCTACTTAGCCATGTTCGGTGCTATGGGAGTGATGCTGCTGAAGCTGGCCTTGGCCACTCTGGCGCTGCTGTCTGGCAAGGCTCTGCTGATAGCCAAGGTGGCGCTGCTGCTGTCAGCCATCCTCGGCCTCAAGAACTTGCTGGCGCATCAGCCGCAGGAGAAACACGCACCTCAGGTTAGACATGTCGTACAGTTTTTTAGACTCGTAGACACTAAATACACCACCTTTCTATTAAATAGACTGCAATGATAAAATAGTATTTTTCCTAAAGTATGCCTACTCAGTGTATGGTTTCAAGCACACCAATGTGCAGTAGCATCTGCCTAAAGTGTATTGTAAAGCAGTTTTGGCGATTCTGGGGTTAGTCTGAATATGTATTTGATTTGTTTTATGATCCATACAAAGACATTTATACAACCAATTGATTATCAATAACGTGGTGGAGTTAATATACTTATTATGAATTAGTTTTAAAATTATTACTTTCTTATAAATAGGTCCTTTGTCCAAACAAGTGGACACATTTTGTAATTCTGGATCCATCTTAACGCCACGTCACGCCGCGCCGGTTGGTTGAATTTAGTGTATTGTTAAGAATCAGTTTTGAAATGACTTGAATGTTGGTAAAACAGTCTTATAGACTTTGACTTGGACGGGTGGAGGTAATGGGTATGGTTGAGCTTGCTAACATCATCAAACATCAATTAATGAAAATTACCAACTATTTTTGGTTCAGATACCATTTATAAGAAATATGAATTTACTATACGATTCCATACGCTGATATGCCGAATATTGTGAATACTTTAATTGTCACACTAACTAAGAGGTAATTCAGGTTGCTCATAATCTGTGATAGAGTTAGCAGCCAATCAACTCCTCTAATCAAATCCCGCCAATCACCAATGGGTTCTATCTATGTGATAATAACGCTCTCTAGGACTAACCTGAAGCAATGAGTAAAACAGTTCCGAGCTAGAACCTAGCGTCCTAGGCTGTAAAGATGGGACAAAAAAGGTAGCATCTTTTCTATGAACGCATAACTAACTGTCTATCTAAAAAATGTACACTATTTTTAAATGTTACTCAGTCAGTTATTTGACAACAAATTTGACTTGTGGCGCTGAATTTTAATTTGAAATTGGTATTTGCCTTGTTCATAGACATCTATTTATAAAGTTTTTTATTCAAAGATCGTTTGTTATCAGGTTATCTACGCAGAGCCCGAGGCCCCTCACTCTGCCTGGTCCCGCAGTACACAGGTTCCCGAGGCCGCACATGATATTGCCTACAGAGGTCAACGTTCCCTACACGCTCGTCGTTCCTAATTGTTTCCTCTATCCACAGTCACCCCAATGTGTATCTAACAACTGTTTTTACACATTTAGTCGTGCATCTAATAGATAGTGTCGCATTGCATAGTATATTAAACAGATGTCACACAATTCCTTATCATTCCTGATCATTCTCTCCCCACAGTCATCATAATCTTTTACATATCTCGGTCATACAGCCCTTACATCCCTTATATAGCTCCCTTGGATGAGTTGTCACATAACATGTAATGTTGAGGTATTTTTTACACATTTATTATTTATAATCATTCTCCACACATAATCATCTCCATATGTTAAACATTTTAGTCACCAAGCCATCAAAACTTAAATCACACACTTTATTCGGCATTATTGTTCCATTCACTCTCGTTAGTCCATTCCACAAAACGTACCACAATTTCCTTTTAATAATTCTTTGCTGCACACTACGATATTTTCGTTACTGTTTCATGTTTATCACGAATACTAGAACAGACACGGTATGGATCGTAAACATAAACAAATGATGTTACTGAACCAAAAGTAAACATTATTTAACTTTGCTCAAATAGAACTGTATAAACCAAAATTTTAATGCTACTAGTATAGGGTTCGGGCCAGAAACGTTATTTGTTTATGTTTATGATCCATACCGGTTTGTTTAAGTATTCGTGATGTGTATATAGTAGTTTAGTTCCTAGCATTAGCCTCGAAGTAAAATTTTTAATTATTGTTATTTTATTTGTAAGTGTTTATTTATATTCTGTTACACTAACTGTTTTACTTGTTACAATAAATATTTCTTTAAAAAATATTGTTTTTTCATAATCCGAAACATGTTTTTCGTCATACTGCAGCAAGGACAGCCGTTTTTTATACATTGTGTACTCTCTAGGGACACAGGGTTTGTTAACAGGTTGTAAATCATGATTGTGACAATCGCATGAAGGAATACAATCACAATAAACGAAAAGAATGAATAATTTACTAAACAACTACTTTTTTACATTAAAAGAATTCAAAACAAGCTGGAAATCGTTATGAGAGGTTATCTTTACATCTTTTGTGAAGCTTTATTTATATTTAGGAAATTTGTGTGTTATTTAGTAAGAGGGTTGGTTAAGAAAGGTAGTAAACGTTTTGTAGATTTTTGCTAATAGTATTTCTTTTGTAATTTATGTGGTAAGCTACAGGTACAGATGCTTGACTAAAATTTTAGGATTATGGTAAAACATTTGTTTCATGCAAAGCGTCAATATCTAGTAATTGTTATTCCACTGTATGTTGTTAGATTAGCCCACCTATGTGTTATGTTGGTATACTTTAATGCTTTTCTTTGAAATGGCGACCATACAAAGTAGGTATTTTAAGCCAAGTATGAATGGAGATGAGTGTAGGCAAGCATGTTTCTTAAAATCCGTTTTCTCAGTTCGTGTGCATGGCAGGAAAAATATATGCATACCGTTAGGAAGATATGTAAATGTGCAGAATCCTTTTATAAATTAAAATAGGCTAAAAAATACACAAAAGTGAATATAAAATTTAAAAAAAATTAACTTGGGCCTTATGGGTTGTTATGCTGGTGACTATATAACAACGAAATATAAACAGAAAATCTAAACGAATGGAATAAATTCCAATCACATGTTTTATTTACAGCTTGGGGTGAAAATAGAGAAGTTTGTACATTACATATTTTTGGTTGAGTTTTTGACCACTGGACGACATCTAGTTCTTTTGGATTTATTGTCATTAAAATATAGGTAGTTTGAAAGTAAGTAGGTCTACACCTTTAAACAAGTTTATCTTTTAAAAAATCATAGAGTTACAGCAAGGTATTTTTAAACACACACGAGCACCACTTGTATACTGTAATGGCTGCCTAGAAAAATTTAAACTCCTTATCTACATAAAGGAAAACATTGTAGGCTACTTCACCAGGTGTTAAAATTGAGTTTCTATTCTTAAATTTATAATAGATGTGTAACTAATTTATACAGAAGATCTAAAGAGCAGCATTATTCTCTTCTCGGTGTCTTGCAAAGTACGGGTAAAGTAACTCGTCTCAATAAATATTTGTATTTACTAATTTATCAGATTTTATGTTGCATAACTGTTTGGGAGTGAACAAATTTAGAGCTGGTTTTTATAAACATATTTCTTGATATTTCAAAATAGTAAGCTAAAATTTTACTTACTGTGTGTAGGTTTGAAAACAATAATATTTAGGCTATTCTTAACTCACCAAGGGTGTGACTTAAAAGTGGTAAATAAAGAAATCATAAGAAATTTAAATTGTATTTGTGGTCACTGACGCTCTTTGAGGGGAAAGTTAATTTGAGTGATTGTGATTGTTGTGGTTTGGTTAAGGCTTATTGAGTTAAATGTTATTGGGACTGAGAAAATGCTAAAAAGTACTGAACAATTAGCAACAATTCGTTAATGGGGACAAGTAAGTAAGTTCGCCTCGATCGTACAACTTGAGTTCGGGGCAAAAAGAGTCACTTTACGCCCTTGTGATGAAATATACTGTTAAGTATTATTTTACTTTGAACACTTTTAGAGACTATGTTTATTTACGATACCTGCAGTTGGTTTAGATTGAACTGCATATTATACATCCTTTGTTATTTTAATGTTTCATGATCACCGCACGAACGAATATATATGGCTAAAATGTACCTACGTTTAAATAAAAGAATAAATATGCATAAAATGTTATTTTAAATGATGTTTCTTCTTGTTGCACTGGGTCTCCCTATAATATTTATTCCTGACTACTTAATGAGTATTTTTCAATCAAGAATGATGAATTGTTTTACAAGAAGCAATTTGTTTCGGTGAAAGGCCAGCTTATCTAGCAATCTCCTTATCTGACGAGCCTTAATCTAGACAAAAGAGCGTTCTTTCTCTGAGATAAATAATGGACTTGTCTGGATGAAAAATGTACTAGGATTGAGTTAACTTGATTGAAAAGAAGTTACACTATTGTGCAGAGATCGATAAGCTATTGAAGTCACAAATTTCCTTAACGGCATCAGCTCTTGTAAACAAAGTCTTTTTTGCAATTTTTTCGTTTTTCTTTTTCATTTTTTAATGTTTTTGTTACATTTAGTCAAATATTTATATTCATCTTCAGTCTATTAATTTAATCTTGAAATGTTGGAAATTAAATAAATATGATGAACTGTACAGAAATTGCTGTATAAAATCATATTTATAAAACATAGTCACATTCAAGATCAAAGTTCTTCGATTTTAACGAATTTCCCATATAGAGAATAAGGTATTGCCGTCCGCAAAATTGCCATGTTATTCCTATGGAGAATTAAAAAAAAAACTGTTGTAGTTATCTTATTTATGGATATTTTTTTATCAAGTTTGGCAATTTCGTTTATTTCATACTAAGCAATCAACACATTTCAATTTTTACAAAAACCTCAATACCTTCCCTGTAGCAGCAAACCTAAGTACTCATTAACATTAATGTTATTTAAATAGGAAATAAATCTGAAAATTGTAAGGGAATATTTTAGTAGAAATCCAGCCAGACAAATGGTCTACAAGGTTTGCTTCGGTGGGGGTATTTCTCCTTTTTTACCCTCAAAAGATAAAATTTCCCAATTTATCTCTTAACCATTTTGAAGAGCTTAAAAAACAAATGATTTATCATATTGAAGTGTTTTTGTACAGTTAGTTTTTGTTACAGAGAAATTTCAAAAAGATTTTAATTTAAAACTCCCATGTTATCATTTTGGAGGGTAAGTAAACTTGTTGTAGTTTGGTTGTTTATGGATATACAGGATGGCCATGAATTATTGGATATGTTTTAAGATTCAATAGATAAATAAACAAGCATTTTAGAAACACGGGAATGTTTTCATTAGATAGAAAATTTAAAGCGGTTTTATACAGTAACTGCAAACAATTATTTTTTAAATGTCAATAATCCTAAAAAGTAGTTATAAAAAGTCTTATTGTAAGTTCACAAATAAATGTTCTGTGGCTAAATATATGGTACCACTATGTCTATACTCGTTTAAACTATGGTACTACTACAACATGGCCAAAGGGTGTCCAGCCTAAAGTTTTCCAATAGCTAACTTTTTAATTTTAAATCTATAAACAACTTGTTATGGGGGACTTCCCTTTATTTTTTATTCTGCATTTTGGGGTGATTTCGAAATTTTTATAAATGGCCGCCATTTTCCAATATGGCGGACAACTTTGTTTTTTCTTATGGAACACCCTGTATTTTATGGTGTTTTTGGATACTACAGGTTATTTTAAGACATTTTCGTTCTTAGGTATTTTTTCATAAAACCAATGGTTAAGAGATATGAACGGTTAAAGTTTATTTTCCGCCATAAGAAATGCCTTAAGTTTTCCAATAGCAAACTTTTTTATTTTAAATCTGACAAACAACTAGTTATGGGGGACCCCCTTTATTTTTTATGCTGCTTTAAGGTATTAATTTAAATTTTTGAAATTTCTCGCCAGTTTTAAAAACGTTTTTGTACTTGGTATTTTTTTTCCTAAACCCAACCAATCAGGCTCTAGTGCATTTAAAGGTTTAATTTCACTGCTACTTTCACGGAATCATATGGTCATCAGGCACAGCTGTGCAACAATGGAAATTACACATGTTCAAGTAAATTAAAAGTATGAGGTTTCCTGTTCCTGTTTATTCATTATTGTGGTGGTATATGCTGTCTTAGGAGTACAATTTAATGTGAGTGTGTATATAGTTCAGTGTTTTATTGCCGTTATAATGACTTTTAACGAACAAGTGGATATGTTATTAATCCTAGGGGAATGCCACAAAAACAAAAGAACCGCTGCTGAACTGTATGCCACTCGTTTTCCTGACAGGCGGCATCCATCAGATATGAGCTTTTTACACCTTGAAAAAAAAAGCTCGTTTAACAGGCAACTTAGGTCCCAAAAAACGGAATCGAACACATCCTATCACCAATGTTGATACCGAAGCAGATGTTTTGGCTTCAGTTTTGGTTGACCCGCATCTCTCTACTCGAGAAATTGAAAGGTATACTAATCTAAGTAAAAGTTCAGTTTCAGTAATATTACGGAAACACAAATTTCACCCATATCATGTCATTCTTAATCAGGAGATACGAGAAACTGATTACCCTAGAAGGTTAGAATTTTGCACATCGATGACAGAACAAATCCAGTTGCAACCTCGTTTTTTGTCAACTGTTTTATTTTCAGACGAGGCAACGTTCCTCAGCACCGGGCATTTAAACAGGCATAATATGCATTATTGGTCTACTGTCAACCCTCACTGAATGCAGACTATTGACCATCAAAGAAAATGGTCAATAAACGTGTGGTGTGGTATTTTTGAAGGCAAAATTGTCGGACCTCACTTTTTCGACGGCCCGCTGAACGGACCCGACTACGCTCACTTTATAGAACACCACCTTCCTGCACTTTTAGAAATGTTTCCTCTTCAGGCCAGACTGGAAATGTGGTTTCAACAGGATGGTGCTCCACCACACTTCTCCAGAGTGGCTAGAGAAGCCGTCAATGATATGTTTGAAGGATGTTGGATAGGTAGAGGAGGCCCAGTTGCATGGCCTCCAAGATCGCCAGATCTCACACCACTAGACTTTTGTCTTTGGGGTGCGATTAAAGACAAAGTGTTTAAAACCCGACCAACGACACCTGCAGACATGAAGTGCAG